AAACCCAATAGGATCCTCAGACAAGTCTTCGGGGTCGAAATAGTCACCAGTGGGTCGAAGACCAGTGATGGCAGCTATGTCGAATAAAGTGGGGGTCATCATCCCACAAGGAAGATGAAAAGAGAAATGTGCGCTATCCCAAAAGTACAATGAAGATACCAGCATAAGGGGACAATAAGGCAATCTTGTCTTCAACAACATCACCAAGTCATAAATGCCCATCTCCTTCCAGACAGAAGCTTGCGCCCTCTCCATTTTATTCAACCAGTCTGAGTATTCAGAAGAAAGGTTAGGGCTTGATTAAAAGATTTGATTCCCTTTGTTCATGAACTGGAGGTTGATATCATCTGTAGTTTGAGGATGCTGCTGGTTAACCGGAGTAGCGTCTTCAGGGTCCTCCCTAGGTTTCTTCGCGCAACCTATGGGTCTAAGCCTTGGGTGAGTTGGAAAGAAGGCACGTTTTTTCAAGGTATTTTCGACGCATGAAGATAAAGGACTAGATATAGCGTACATGTTTCCACCGTATCTCATGGGAATGAGGAGCTGAGAATCATATTCTTCTCGCCATTCTTTCGTCATAGGTTCAGCAATGTACTTGTTAGTCGAGGAAGAAGGAGGGTTGGTGGAAAAGATCTCTGGTGGTTTCTGGACATCATTAGCGTTTTTTGGTTGAGGATTGTTTGGTGCATTTGAGAGGAAAGCCATTGTTGAGGTGTTGAGAGAAAAAACGAAGTTGACAGTACAATGTTGTGAGAAAGCAAGGGATTTGGAAAAGCTGGAAATGGTAAAAGTTCCAAATAGAAAGGCTTGGAAGTATTTATAGCCTTCAGAAGAGGGAGATGTCTCGTCAAGACCATTTAATGTTTCGCAGGTAGTGGGACACGTGGCGAAGCGTGAAACGGTTACCGTGCAGGCATTGGGAAATGTTTAGACATGCTTGCCTAGGTTATAGGAATATGGTCATCATGGCAAGCGTGGTAACGGAAGTTTGAAGAGACATCTTGAAAAAAAAAGTAATGATGGTTTTCTCAAGTGCAGCAGCTGTTGGAAGGTGAAAAGCACACGTCAAGACTTGGTGGACAACTGGGAAGACAGGTGTCGAATGGGAAGTTCAAAGAATGGCTATTTCTTTAAGCGTCGAAATAAACATTCTTGGGGGGCAATTTGTTGGCTCCCAAATTCGACACTTATTGTATTTGGTCTTTTGGACCAAACAACTGGAATAAACTAAACCAGGAAGTATGATTCGACACATGAGATAACTTAAGAAAAAAAGATCTAAGTTATGATAGGAACCTTCGACCAAGGCAAGTTCGACTGAACCATACTTATGTTGCTCGACTGAGAGAAAGTGTTCACGCTTTGGCACATGGAATGAGGACTATTTGAATTTTGAATTATTGGAGGGAAAGGCAGTTTTCATCAGCGTCTGAGAAGAGGCAACGTGGCCAAAGGCTATGGGTCGAGGGACATGCAGAAGACACTTGTCTTCATCCTAGCGTAGAATGTCCCCTCGACGGTTACCTACTTTTAGTATAAATTAAGAAACTTGTGTAATTTTCAAGTGTGTTCAACCTATTGTACTAAATCACTCAAATATTATCCAAGTAACTACTGCGTGAGAAAGGATAAAGTTGAGCAATGTACGTTGGAAACACCTTTTTTCCTTAATGAAAGTCTTTTTACATTACTTTACCATTATCCTGCAAAGTTATCTTTTTACTTCTTTTACTTGCATTTCTATACTTTTGCTTACTTTTCAACAATCTCAAACATCCTTTCTCCAGGTCGAACGTGCGTTCTTCCTTCTTACTCATTTTACATAAAAATTAGCATATGTCCTGGGATTAGTTTGATCGATCCCGTAAGTAAACAAAAAAAACTTACCTTTTTGGAGATCAGCGGTTGTTTACCAAAAACAACGGTAAACACTGGGATAGGAGTTTAAAAGTTTTGATCAAATAGATCATTTTCAGAAAGAACTCTTGTAAGTTCTGGTTGATTTTGTTCTAGATTTAGATTGGGGGAGTGAGGTTCGTTTAGGAAGTTTCCAAGGGTTACAGAAGGATCAAACTCTATATCAAAGTCTTCAAAAGTTTGAGGTGAGGGATCTTCTGTTAGTTGAGAGGGGAGTGTTTCAGATGTTGGAAAAACTATTGGTTCTACAACAGAAACAAAGGAAGTGTTACCTTTCTTTTTAGCATCTTTGAGAGTCCTCTGAGAAGATCCTTCTCTTGTTGCTTTTCTCTTTCTGGACTTCTTTAGCACAACACCGCTTCTAAGTATCTGACCACAATTTCTGATGAAGCATCAATCTCAAAAAATAACGGAAAATCTTTCAGAGAGGTTCTCCTTGATGTGATGATTTCATGAGTAGCAATTGTTGGCTCCTTCTTAATGCTATCAATAATCTTCATCTTTTTTAGATTTTTGGCATTAAGGGGTTTTCCAGCACATGCCTCCAGTATGCTAATTTGTTGAGCTTCTGTCAAATGCTCTATCAATCTGTTCTCAGTCAAAATATCAGAGATTAACATGCCCATAGGAATCCAATCCCTCTTGGTCCTTTCTTATTCCCTTGTTTCTTTCACGCTTGTTCTCAAATGATTGAAAAGCAAGTGTGGAAGATTTATTCTTGTCTTCTTTGAAATAAAATACAGCAGAAACTGTTGATCAATGTTGATGTAGTCAGGAGAGCTTGTTGGTTTCTTGTGATTTATACATCCCAGAATGATCTTAGCACAGATTCTGTAGTAATCCTTCAAATCCCTAATCTTGTTGGATGGTTGTCAAGAAGTAAAGATAACTCTTGCTATGGCTTTTATGTCAGAACATTTTTAGCCATGTCGCTGCACCTAACTCCGCCGCCATTGTACCCAATCAGTTTTCCAATCAAGTCATCTGTGATTACAATCTTCTTCCCCATTACGTAAGACGTAACTTGATGATTAGATGAAGTTGCATGAATCTAGAATTCCTTTACCAGAATGGGGAACACTGCACCTAGCAGACGATCAAAATACTTGTTACAGCATTGAGAGTTACATCTTCAGACAGATCAAACTCATTCTCCTTCAAGCTTTCAAAATCGATGATAAGCTCGCATAAAACTTCAAGAGAATCGACCAGAGTGAGCAAATTTCTTATTGGTTCTTCGTACTGTTCATCTGTCGTAGAAGAACCGGGAGTACTTTGAAGATTTTTGACGCTAGAGGAAGATGCCATTGTTCACACAATTTGTTTTGAGATTTCTACGAAAAGGGTTTTTGCAAAACGAAAGCTAGTGAAAGTAATAGAACCGAGAAGAAGTGAATGAAATAGTGATCGTGTATTTATAATCAATTTTGAAAACTTAATTAGTAAGAAAGAGAAAATAAATTAATGATTACACTGCAATTATGAAACCTGAGAATGGGGATTGCGTGGAGATAAGAAACAGTTATCAATGACGCGTGTCTCAATGCATCCAATCAGAGCCTTAGATCCTTCAGAATTTGAACGCGTGTTCAGCCTTAGAAGGTAGCTTGTGAGAGGATGACAGATGTTTGATAGTGTGAACTGCATGCCTCTATCTTTGAAATGAAGGGTTCAGATCTTCTTTAGATAGATTCTGATGCAACTGTACTCTTAACTTCTGAAGACATGTTGATAAGATGTTCACAAGGAAAATATAAAGTTCTAAGAGTTAATGAATATATAAATAAATCTTCTTATTTTGGACATAATTTCATGTTGAGATGTTTCAGAATGAAATTAAACCTATCTTCAAAAAGTGTTTTTGTAAAAACATCAGCCCGTTGATGGTCTGTGTCAATAAATTTTAAAGTAAGGATTTCTTTGCTGAGATGTTTTATTTCTATATGCTTAGCCCTAAAATACGAAATTGAATTTCTAGATAAACATATTACAGAAGTATTATCACAGAATATGGGAATGTTACTCTCAAATATGTTGAAGTCTTCAAGCTAACTTTTCATCCAGAGCATTTATGTGCTGCATCCAGCAGTTGCTATTTATTCAGCTTCAGCTGTTGACAACGCAATTGTGGACTGCCTCTTACTGGTCCATGAGAATAAATTATCTCCCAGAAACTGACAGCTTCCAGAAGTACTTTTTCATTCTACTATGTCTCAGCAAAGTCAGCATCACAGTACCCTAGTATATTTCAGATACTTAAAAATTCGCTTAACAGCTGTTAAGAGAGAGAGAGAGGAGGGATGTCAACCACATGAATATTTTTCATGTTTGAAGAGTAGTCACTACAATTTCTCATTATGGTATGCCATATGGGTTTGTACTACTCATAAGTGCCTAATATGGTTACTAGTTCGTTTGGCCAATTTAAAATTCTAATATTGTCTCTTGTTTACTGTTCCTTCAAAAGTCTAAGACTAACTTGTCAATATCTTGTGTAAAATTCATCTATATATCAAAAGTGATCATTAATGAGTTCCTACATGCCAAATTATGAGAATTTGTTGTTCTGGAGGGGATTTCTATAATTAACATTCTTTCATACAATACCCGCTGAATACAGTAAATACAAGCTCCTACGATCTATTCCTTTATTCTTTTGCCACGTCTTCTAGTATAAACCCTCCACACTTTTGGCTTATGCCCAAAGTCAAACCCAACTTCTTCACCTAAGTCTCTATCAACAAACACCAAAACGGCACTATAAACTTCAAGTCTTAAATAAAGATTTAAAGCAAAGTTTCATCGTTAGCATATTATGAAATTAGAAACTTTACTAGCCAAAGTTATATGGTTTCAAATGTTGTATGTTGTTGGTTAGATAGATGATCAATGTTCGCCACAAAATGAAATATCAGTACAGTTCAGTTGGAAAACTATCATAAACGGATTAAATGTTAGTACAGTTTGAAAACTCATCAGCTTTCAAAAGATGCAGAAGGCAATAAAAATATCCTGAATAGGAGAAAAATCAAGGTTGTGTGAAATCTGTCCTGAGATCATGATAGTCCAGTGGAAATACAAGACTAAAATTGCAGTAAATCTAAAACTATATCAACAATGAAGTTCACTACCAGCATTAACATGTCTTCTGGTATCATAAAACCATAAAACAAGTACTTTATGTAACTGCATATAGGCATCCTTAATACTATAAACTTCAAATCATGACACAGCAAAGCTTCAGTCTGCCTGAGAGCCACTGCTACTTCCAGAAGATTTCTTCCCACCGTATTTCTGCATAATTTAAAACAAATAGACTTTACATTTCATGCAATTGATACAAATCAAACAAATCTTGCTTCTGCTGGATTTTTGTGAGCAAACATCTAACATCTAAAAGTGAACACTCGAACATCTAAAATACTGATACAACATGTTAAAAAATAGATGACACAACTAGAAAACCCGATGAGAGAAGGAGAGGACGAGAGGCAAGGACTGTGTGCGTTATGGATCGTGTAATGCAGAGCGAGTGTTGCGAGCTGCAGAACAAGTGCTGCAGAACAAGAGTAGCCAACTAAGAGCTGAAATAACAATTAAAAAGTAAGTCAGTTTTGGCCTTTCAACAAATATCACTTGAATAAAAATTAGTTCATCCTTCCATTATTTTCAAGCATACAAGTACAAGTTTAATTATGCACAAAGCAACATTACAAACTTGTAGATTCATCTCGAGAGAAACTCACCAAAAGCAATGCACAAAGCAATATATCAGTATGCATCAGCCAAGCAAATTAACCATACCAGCTCAGTTCATGCATATCAGTGCAAAAACAATGCAAATTCTATATCTACGATGCACATTTACAAGTCCATACCAGTTCAAAATTCAATACAAAAAAAAAAAAACAAATGTAGAACCACAACAGTTGCATCAGTTTAAGATACGACAGTTCAATGCCTTCACATTTCCATCAAAAAATCACTTATAATCTAACCCAAATCAAGTCAACTAACTTCCATCCTACGCACAAACCTAAGCCACTACCGTCAACAACAACAATCCATTTTCAGCTACCAATGCATGTCGCTCAAAGTATAAAACCTTAATTCTTCTGCTACCAATGCATGTCGCTCAAAGTTTAAAACCATACCTCTTCAGCTTGGTTGAGAAGAGTTTCGGAGCAAAGAGTTTTGGTGAAAATGAAAAGGGTTTCATTGTTGATGAATCGTCTGGGTGGTGAACTGCGATGGTGAAATGTGAAATGAGCGAAGAGTTTCAGCGAAAATGAAAAGGGTTTAGAACTTGAAATGCGATGAGTCGTCTCTGGGTTTAGAACTTGAAATGCGATGCATCGATGAAATTGTTCTTCAATTCCGTTTTCGGTGAAATGCGTTTGTATTTGTTATTCACCTAATAAATTTAGATTCATTAATATTCACTCATTAATTTATTAATAATATTTAAACATTGTCATTTGCGACGCGAATATCACGTCCAACTGCTAAAATCACGTCACTAACGCTTTTTTCTACGACGTGACTGAACACACCGCAAGAGAGCGTGTGACAACTTATAAGTGACGTGATTTTCATGTCACAAAATTGTGACGTAAAAATCACGTTGCAACATATTGCACATATACCCAATATATTTTAGTAAGAGCAGACATAACAGGTGATGAATCATAAACAGTATGAATTTGCAACGTGATTTACATCACTAATTATAATCTGAAGTTGACCGTTTGCGACGGGATTTTCATGTCACAAATTTGTGACATTGAAATCATGTCACTCATTATAACTTTTTTTAAATAAATTCTGAAACAATTAAATATATTAATTTATAAAACCATTAATACTAAATAAATTAATTTATATTAAATTTATTAAATTGATACTATTAAATATATTAGTTTATACTAAATAAATTTAAATTAAACTATGAAATCATTAATACTAAATAAATTAAATAAACTAAATATTAAATATAAAAGTTTTTAAAATTAAAGAAATCATTAAATTAAAATTAAATAAACCATTAAACTGAATAAAAATAATATATTAAAAGTTATTAATCATCTTAAACAAATTAAAATTTGAAAGCAAAATAAAATAAAAATAAAAATTACAAGTCAAGGTTAAAATCATCTTCATTATTCTACTCATCCATATATTCTTGACTACCATTTCCTTCATTTCTACCAAACATAGATTATCCCTACTTTGGAATTGCATAAATTGTCGTAATTACTCCTTCACCTCAGTTTGTCTCTTCGCCATTGCCTCCATTTGTCGTTATTGTCAATCCATTTGGGCCTTTATTTATGCCTCATGTTGCGCTAACTCGTCGCTCATTACCGCTTCACGTTGCGGTGACTCGCGTCTCGCCTTATTTACCGCCAATTGTCTTATTGTTTCTTGCATTTGCGGTGTTAATTATGGTGAGCGCGACGATCCTCCCTCATATTTAATTCTTTGAAACAAAGTTCTATCACCTCTTCTATAGGTGCCCGCCAAATTTCCACGACCAAAAAATACCCGTTAGGCCCCTTTTCGCCATTGACTTTACTCCAAATATAAAATTCATATATGGACGAAGCGGCTCTGAACCTCCTGGAGTATATTGAAGATTATGAACCGTATGGATAATGATGTGGAACTTTATGGTTGTGTCGGGCTTACGCTTTCAAGTCAAGGCCCAATCCAACTGCACATCCAAGGCCCAAATTTCTCACACTATATAATCTCAAATCTAATTTTTGTAAAGGGGGAGCTCTCATAATTCAAAAATCCACAAAAACACTCTAATCTTTTCTCTCAAATCTCTAAAAGATCTATAATACGGTGGAAGAAATGACTTTATTGGTTTTGTGTTTTTATCGCAAATGTTACGGTTAGAAAGAGTCGTCACCGACTTTTCTTTTATCCAACAAAGAAAATGGTGAAAATAACAGGAAAGACCTTTCGAGAATTTTCTGAGTAAGTGGGGTAGGTTATGGAAAGAGAATGTGTTAGCACCCTTTCCATCTGTAGTTATCTACGGGCTCTTAGTTTCTAGCTCACTTTGAAAATGCTTTTTGTGTAAGTGTGTTTTAAAGATATTTTGAAAAGACGCCTTAGTGCGGCAAACTTTGTAATATTTCTTGTTTCGGCAAGAACGTATACAAAGTGTTTTTTGTCTTTGAAAATATTTAGAAAAGAGTTTGTGTATGTGTGAAAAAATTATTTTTGATTGTTTTTATGAGCAAGCAATTAGGAGTTATCTACCTATTTGAAAGGTTTGTTCTTTTCCTCTTTTCCTTTAGATAGTTCTATCCTACTAATAGTCAGTAGGTAGCCCTATCGTTGGATGTTTTAAGGGACAAGCGAGGGTCATCATACAGTCATGAAAGCAACTCGTAAGATACTTTAGTAATTATCCTAGAGTTTTAAGATCATATACCGAGGCAACATCAAAATGGTCATCGAGGGACTTATGATCTTTAAATCAAAGGGTCGCCACTAAAATCTCTTACGCTCGAGAGTCGTGACTGTTTGTTTTTCCGAAGGCAACAAGTGGAGGTACCTTAGAGGTCCCCGTGTGCGATGTGTGTTATGTTTCAGTTATTTATCTTAAGTGTTAGGTTTGCTAAGGTTTATTTTTAATCTTTCCATACAAGCCTATTAGCATTCATCTAACAGTTAATGGTATATAAGTACGGAAAATAAAGTGCAGAAATTTGAATTTATGATATTACATCGCTTCGGGATGGGGAAAATTACAAACCAAAAATGGAGGAAAGAAAAAAGTAAAGGATCCTAAATTTAACTATTACAGCCCATGTACAATTACATAATTGTGAAAATAACACGAGTAAAAATAAACGTGCGGGAAAGAGAAAAAAAAGAAAGGTGTAAAGAAAACCTAAAAATCTAAGTGATAAAAAGAAATGTTTTTGTTGTTTTTTTTATTAGGAAAAATAATTAAATTAAATAATAGAAACCTAATTCTAATTGATTAATTAATAAAAAAAAGAAGGTGATTATTAATTAAAAAGAAAGTGATGAAAAATAATTAATTAAAATTAATTTAATTAATGAAAATCTAAATCTAATTATTTTTGTGATTTTGATTTTATAATTTTTTTATGGTTTTAAGAAATTAAAAGGAAATATTATATTACAAATCAAGTTCAAAATCATTTAAATAAAAGTGTGTGTGCTCAGATGGGACCCTGGTGTTTGAATTGGTCAATCATATTATTTCTTTCTACCAAGCCGATTCTCCCACCGGTCAAACCAACTTGGATGGTGGTTCTGGTCATCCCCTCCGATGACGTAAAAATCAAAACCTACACGATTCAAATAAAATGGAAAAGAAAATGATCTTATTTGACTAATTAAAACCCTGCGAATTCCACTGTGCAGTTGGTTTGATCTAACAATGCTTGTACTACAAGATCTAAAGCTTCAAAATTTTCGTGCCCTAACAATGACACGATGTTGTTTCTGCGTTAAAACTCAAATATTAAATGTTAGAACAACTTAAATCATGGATATGAATCATACTGACATGCTTGCAATGATTGAAATTGTGCTGAAATTTATAAACTGAAACTTACCAACTTATCAGTCGGAGCTAGTGCAAAGGAGGATTATGGGGTTGATTCGCGAGGAGTGAGGCTTGGTATAGACTCCTGGAAACCTCAGGAAGATGGTAAGAGACTTGAAATTGCTCGAATATGGCTGAAAATTGCTATGCAAGTTTCTTTGAAAAATGTGAAGAATTCGGGGAAGCTTTTGGAGACTTTTGGAGAGCTTTTGCATGTAGGAATTTTGTGCTCCTTTGGCTTATGAGTTGTTGTGTATTTATAGAGAGAATGAGTGGTTAACCAACATGGCAAGGAAACACACAATTAAAGCCACCAACATGATAAGGAATCACACCATTAAACCATGGTTTCATGACAAAAAATCATATTTGAAAAATTGCCAAATTACATGATTCTTTCCATTTCTACCTCTTGCATGAACCTGGTCATGTCTTATATATCTTGTACGAAACTTGGCCCCCTTAATGGGTCAAGTCAAGCCCAAATGCCATGGCCCATTATTTCTTGCATTTTTATCTTAATTTATTTGATTTCAAATTGAATAAAATCAAGATAAATACAAATAAAATCAAGGCCATGCAAAAAATGGACTTAGAGGTCCTATAAGATATTATGGACATGTTTGAAGTCCAAAAAGTAGGATCATTGGTCTAAGAATGCAATTTTGCTCAATTTGTACTTCTTGAATTTCTTCAAAAGTTCCCAACTTGTGAAACTCATAACTTGTTCAATTCATCTTTTGAAGATGATCTATGACTTTTTAGAAATCCCAAGATGTACTCTACACTTTATCTTTTAATCATTTTTTCATTTTGAGATATTATCTTGATGTAAGTTGTCTTGACAAAAAGTGTCTTTTGTTGACTTTTGAAAATGACCTATAATGTATGAGATCATATCTTCCAAGTGAAACATCTTTTGGACTTGAGAATTAAAGAAAAGTTGTAGAGAAATAAATTTTATTCAAAATGAGCTTTGGTTGGGGAAAAGTTCATGAAGCATGTGAAAGTTATGCCTGGTCAAAGTTCAGTTGACTTCTTCTAAGGAAACCCTAATTTGGCAATTCTTGACTTTTGATGATCTGAAGACTTTCCTTGAGGAATCATGATCAATCCTTGATTAAATGATGAATATAACTTAAAAATGTTGATGTTGACCAAAAATCTTGAAGTTTGACTATATATTGACCATAGTTGACTTTTTGACCAATATAGTTAATTTCCAAACATTTAAGCCATTGACTGAGAAAATTTATGATGTAGGGTGTGATACGGTTGGAGAACTGACTTGGGTGTTTTGCGTTTTATCGCAAATGTTGCGGTTAATAAGAGTCGCCACCGACTTTTCTTTTGTCCAAAAGGAAAGGCTGAAAAGAACAGGAAATACCTTCGATATTATTTCTTGAACTCGGGGGGTAGATTATGAAAAGGGAAGGTATTAGCACCCTTTTCATCCATAGTTATCTATGGGCTCTTAATTGATTGCTAGATCACATTCTTTTTTGTTTGAAAATGTGCTTTGTGTGGTTTTTGAAAGTCTTTTGAAAAGGCGCCTTCGTTTAGGCAAACTTTATAATAGTTCTCGTTTGTAAGAACGTATACGAAGTGTTAAGCTTTTGAAAATATTTCATGTTTGGAAAATGTTTTTGAAAGTGTTTTGGAAAGTGTTGGTGTTTGTTTTGAAAATAAGCAAGAGTGTTTGATTTGAAATTGAGCAAGCAACTAGAAAAAATCTACCTACTTAAAAGTCTTAGTTCAT